GTGAAGATTATTCGATTATCTGAAATCAGTTGCATATATAGCCAGAAAGTACTCCTCGAGAACTTTCATTTCAGCCCCGCCTTAATGACGCACCTAGCATAGTTTTTGTGCAATTCAGCATTTTCCATGCAGTTTCCCTACCGCCAACACCACTCTGGTAATTCGTCCTCGTCGGGAAATTGTGTCATTTTCCTGTTAAATTAATTTAGGAGAATTGTTATTATCTTAATACTTATTAAAAATACGTTGATTTATCCAAAAAATGGTAAAAATCATTAATATTATAAAAACTATTTTTCAATTAACCCCTTGCGCACCAACACAAAATACAAGTGGTTTGTATCTTTGCTTTTATATTTTAAAATTTATCTACACGGGCATTACCAAAACGTGGACCTACATGACTAATTTTCAACACCAAAAGTTTTGCAGACATAATATACATTTGAGTAAAATTTTATCAATCTACTTCAATTTGTTCGAAAGCTAAAGTGATTTCCACAGACGGACGGACATCGCTAAATCGACATAGAATTTTATGCTGATCAAGAATATATATACTTTGTGGGGTCTAAAATATATATTTCGAGGTGTTACAAAATTTAATCCAACATAAGTCAGGAGTGATAATGGAAAATATTTGGTCCACTGCTCTCATACCACCCTTTTGAATGATTCGAAATTCGACGAAAATTATAAAATATAGAGCCCTTTTGAAGGTCTCCTATCTACAGAAGACCTTTTGAAGTCCTCTGAAGAAGATCTTATACAGGACTTTTGTAACTAAAACAGCTTTTAAAGGTCTAGAAATTGAGGAGCTTTTGATGTTTTCTTTTTATCAAAAATCTTGCCTATTTTTAGAAGAGTATTTGAGTATGTAAAATAATGTAAAAAGTATTTATAGGTCATATATTTAAAGAAGAGATTTCCCAGGTCGTATGTCTACTGTACAGGTTTTGAAAGTAGAACTTTTGGTATTTTTATACCCTTCACCGTTCTATGGAGGATATATTAGCTTTGTCATTCCGTTTGCAATTCCTCGAAATATTCATGATAGACTCTACAAAGTTTAAATATTCTGAAACAGCGTAAAATTCTAAGTCGATTATACGACGTCGTCTGTCGTTGTGTCTATTTATTGTATTCATGCCATCTTTGGAAGGAATTAATATAGAAGGGTAAAATTTTGCACACATGTGTATTTTACCAATAGACAGGTTAAGTTCTTAAATGAGGCATGTCGGTGCACGTTTTCATTTAGCCCATATATAATGGTACCTCCAATATTCGGTATTTTGATGATTTTAGCGGTGATGATGATGATTTTTACCAGAATTTCGTACTTAATGTTCGTACAATGGGTGCTGCAGCCTATGACAGAAAATTGCCTATACAGGTCCATGTTTTCGTATAGCCCCCATATAACGATACCTCCCGATGTTTGGTTTTTTTTTAATGATTACTGACCGGAATTGACTACATCATTGTTAGCTTCCATATAACGGTTTTCCTTTGAGCAGTATTTTTCGACGGAATTTTTTGGAAATTTTTCAAGTTTCTTCAAAATGGTGAAGGGAATTAAAAGTTCGGCCCGGCCGAACTTAGCTTCTTTTTTATTTGTTAAGTTTATATGGGAGTTTTTGAATGTGTTCCATTCTTAGAAGATATTTTTGAAACCCATTTATTTATATTTTTTATCTGTCGGTCTATCTGTCTATTCAGAGACATACGCCCTGTGGTAAGGGTCCTCCAATTTTTTTCACTTTTCTAAAATTATTAGCTTTTTTTATATATGAAAATGAATGAAGTTTTTCTCCCCTTATTATACAACGCATTTTTGTAGAAAATCCAATCTGATATTAGAATCTTGGAAGAACAGCCAGAAAAAAGAAAAACGCAATTATCTATCCAATTAGAAATTTATTTTCAATTTTCTTTTTTTTTTTTCTCATTGAAAGAAAAATTACGATTGTCTGTTCTGTCGACTGGTTGGGTGGTGGTGGTTTTCAGTGATCATTTTTTTTTATAAATAGAAAATGTTTTTCATTCAAGTGAGAGTTTTATTATGATTCGTGACTTATGGTTTAGTTCTCGTTGTCTGGATTTATTGCCATTGAAAAGAATAGAAAAGAAAATCGTAATTGTAAAGACCCAGAAGAAGCGAGGTTGGGGTATGAGAAAAAAATGAACAACAACAACACAAAATAATTGGAACGTAACAAATTTGTGACAATAAAAATTAGTACAATGTCTTGTAAGCAGCAGCGGCAAAAACATCATTTCAAAAGATAGCGATCAGATTTGTGGTGGCATTATTAAAAAACTTGGAAAGAAGAGCCGTAAGATTGTCATATTTTTATGATTGGGGTGTCGGTTGTAAAAATGTTTCTAGTCTAGTGAACCCCCTTCTAATTTCGGAGTTAAACTTTGTCACAACAATAACATTTTTTTTCAATTAAAGGTAATTCTTATGAGGACAAGATCCCCCTACATAAAACTGTAAAAATTATGTTATAAACGTGTCTTCCATGGGGAATGCCGGTGGTGGTGTTGGTGGCACCCGAGCATAAATTATTGCTTTTATAAAAGTTTATTTCATGACTTCTGCTGTTGTTGGTTTTATTTTATTTTCTTATTTTTCATGAAAAATAATGAAAATGTTTATGTTATAGGAAAAACAACAAACCCAACAACAACAACAAATCAACAGTTATATTGGTGCAACAACAAACAGAAACAAGTAAAAAATGCTGTAAGTTCGGCCGGGCCGAACTTTGAATACGCTCAACCATTTGGAACGAATTTGGCAATTTTCAAAAACATTAAAACCCCATAAAATATTCTGTTAAAATATTCTGTTATATTAGGGTCTATACGACCGACATGGACCTGCATGGGTAAATTTTGTCATAAGCCATTACAATATTCAAATGCGAAATAAAAAATAGGTGAATAATGTAGCTAAAATCATCAAAATACCGAATATCGGGAGGTACCTTTATATGAGGGCTATACGAAGACATTCACCTGCAGAGACAATTTTCTGTCTTGGGCTGTAGTATCCATTACGAACTTCAAATCCCAAATTTGAAAAAAATCCTGTGAATAATGTAGCTAAAATCATCAAAATACCGAATATCGGGAGGTTCCGTTATATGGGCGATATACGAAGACATGGATCTGCACAGATAAATTTCTGTCTTAAGCTGTAGTATCCATTACGAACTTCAAATACCAAATTTAAATCAATTCCGGTGAATAATGTGCTAAAATCATGAAAATACCGAATATCGTTATATGGGGCTATGCGAAGAAGTGGACCTGCACAGACAATTTTCTGTCTTGGGCTGTAGCATCCATTACGAACTTCAAATACAAAAATTTGAAAAAATTCCTGTGAATAATGTCGCTATAATCATCAAAAAGTCGAATATCGGGAGGTATCGTTATATGGGGCTATACGAATACATGGACCTGCACAGACAATTTTCTGTCTTAGGCTTTAGTATCCATTACGAATTTCAAATACCAAATTTTAATTAATTCCGGTGAATAATGTCGCTAAAATCATCAAAATACCGAATATCGGGAGGTTATATGAGGGCTATACGAAGACGTGGACCTGCACAGACAATTTTCTGTCTTGGGCTCTAGTATCTATTACGAACTTCAAATACCAAATTTGAAACAATTCCGGTGAATAATGTCGCTATAATCACCAAAGTACCGAATATCGGGAGGTTTCGTTATATGGGGGCTATACGAGGACGTGGACCTGCACAGACAATTTTCTATTTTGGGCTGTAGCATCCATTACGAATTTCAAATATCAAATTTGAAACGATTCCGGTGAATAATGTCGCTAAAATCATCAAACTACCGAATATCGGAAGGTATCGTTATATGGGGGCTATACGAAGACATGGACCTGCACAGACAATTTTCTGTCATAGGCTGTAGTATTCGTTACGAACTTCAAATACCAAATTTGAAACAATTCGGGTTAATAATGTCACTAAAATCATCAAAATACCGAATATCGGGAGGTACCGTTATATGGGGGCTATACGAAGACATGGACCTGCACAGACAACTTTCTGTCTTCGGCTGTAGTATCCATTACGAATTTCAAATACCAAATTGTAATCAATTCCGGTGAATAATGTCGCTAAAATCATCAAAATATCGAATATCGGGAGGTTATATGAGGGCTATACGAAGACGTGGACCTGCACTGACAATTTTCTGTCTTGGGCTGTAGTATCCAATACGAACGTCAAATACCAAATTTGAAACAATTCCGGTGAATAATGTCGCTAAAATCATCAAAATACCGAATATCGGGAGGTACCGTTAAATGGGGCTATACGAAGTCGTGGACCTGTACAGACAATTTTCTGTCTTGGGCTCTAGTATCCATTACGAACTTCAAATACCAAATTTGAAACAATTCCGGTGAATAATGTCGCTAAAATCATCAAAATACCGAATATCGGGAGGTACCGTTATATGAGGGCTGTACGAAGACGTGGATCTGCACAGACAATATTCAGTGTTAGGCTGTAGTATCCATTACGAACTTCAAATACCAAATTTGAAACAATTCCGGTGAATAATGCCGCTAAAATCATCAAAATACCGAATATCGGGAGGTACCGTTATATGGGGGCTATACGAAGACGTGGACCTACATGGCCAATTTTCAATACCAAAAGTCCTCTAGACATAATACACATTTGAGAATAAATTTTATCAACCTACTTCATTTCGTTCGGAAGCTAAAGTGATTTCCACAGACGGATAAACGGACACCCGACGGACATTGCTAAATCGACATAGAATTTTATGCTGATCAAGAATATATATATATATATATATACTTTGTGGGTTCCAAAATTTATATTTCGAGGTGTTACAAACGGAATGACAAACTTAATATACCCTCCATACTATGGTGGAGGGTATAAAAACAACATATCTATTTATGTTCATTGACTTACCTGTGTGAGAATGAAATCGCGTGTTAAGTTCAACTTAGCCCTCCTCACCACTCATCGGAAAGCGGGACAGCCTCTCTCTGCTGTTGTGCTTCCCAATAGAAATTCTACCTTTTTTGCCATCAAACTTCAATGAATGCGGCGGTCTGTTTGTTTCTTTTTGCTGCTACTGCTGCTGCATTACAAAGCCATAAACTCATTTATTTCATTGAAGTTTCGTTTTTTTTTTCTTTCTCTTCTTCTTCTCTCCATAATAAACTGGTCAATGAACTTTTCAGAAAATAGAGAAAAGACCACATCTGTAGCAATCGCTGGCGATTCATTAACTCATCGAATATTGCGTTTTGGCTATAACCAAGCAATGGTGTTTGTGGGCCAGCGGAATCGATGTGTTATACACCACATAGAGCTGCAAATAGATATGAAATAAAATTGTGGAAAAGAAATAGGTTATAATAAATTTTGAAACATCAGAGAAATGTGTGAAATAAATAAACACGAATAGGAAATCTGGCAAAACTTCTAATATGAGTTAGAATTTAATTATTAAAAAAAAAATAATTAAGAAATTAAGAGCAATTCATAGGAAAAAAACTATTGTAAAGTTTTTAGTGAATGTGCGATGCGTTTATACCCCCACTAGCTGAAAACGGCGCGCTTTGCTACCCCTTATGCACTCAATAATAACAAGTAAGCAAAGGCTATAGTCGGGCAGGGCCGACCATGTGATACCCAACAACACTGGTAAATATGGTAAAAGTCCCCTTATGTCCAAATCCATTTTGGAAGATTTCGCTTTTGAAATAATGTCATGGAGCGCTGTCCAGATATTAACCTTAGCATTTTGACCAGGGACATTTGCCCAATATTTACGCACTGCATCGTGCTATTAGTTGTTGTAGTCCAATTTAAAGCTAAATACAATCCGATGGTCATCCAGAATGAATGAAGAAGTCTACTTCCCTGTCCTCAACATTTGTTTCTTTAATTGTGTGATCAGGAGAATTCTTCTGTTTTTGGTTCTTTGGAACCTTTAAATATTTTGCGATCATCTCCAAAAGCCAGAAGCCCCTCCACATCTCTAAATTTAGATTCACCTATATGCTTGCCTACAATATTTGGCTATATTCGGTAACAAAATCTGCATAAAAAAGTCAAAAGATTGCCATTTGTGTTTTTTGGATTTCTCCTGTAAGTTATTTTCAGCGTTTCGGTAGAATGCAAATGTTTTTTTGCACACAAAAGTAGTAGTCCATTCAACCTGCTGTCCTAAACTCTAATTTGATGCGAGATTTCGTGTCTTTTGGTTTCTATTTGTGACCTTTATAACGGCTGCCAAATCAGGAACATTTTTAGTTGTTGGTCCAATATATTTTGGACATCTTTGAAAACTGTAGGCCTAGCCCTTCTGAGCCTAACCCTACCCTTGTGAAAATTTTCGTGAGGATCGGACAATAATTGCAATCTGTATATAACCCCAACCTATGTTGTAAGGTGAAAAAATATGAAATAAAAATTGAAAAAATCGCATGCGATAAAAAATATGAAAAATAAAAATATATCACAAAATACAAAAAATCAATATTAACATCATTATTGCCATACTATATGCGATTTTTTCTTTTATGCCAAAAGGGCATTCTGAATTGAGATATAAGCATTCTAGCTAACATCCCCTTCCTTTGTATATACATTGTATATTCTATATCCGATAAATTTACTATCGACATCTACGTAATGGTCATAATTGACCTGTTCGTCTACTTGTGTTTCCCCGGGATTAAAAATATTCGCGGTTTAATGGAAAATTTGACTTTTATTTAACACAAATGTTATGGTCTATTTTACCCACTAAATATTACCAAATAACAATCAAAATTGGAAGGCTTCTGTCCAGCCCTAAGCTCTAGCCCCACGCTAATTTCCGCGTCGATTGGTCTATAATTGCGACGTGTAGATCAAATGGAAAATCAGGAAAATTTTTGGTCCATTTCAACCCCTAAATATTATGCGATCATCTCCAAAAGCAATAGGCTTCTATTCAGGCCCTAGCCCCACCTACATTCTAAATTTCGTGAAGATCGAGCCATAATTGCGACCTGTAGCTTGATTACAAATTAACATGGACAGACGGACGGGCGGACATACATACCTAGATTGACCCAGCTCAGCGAGATATGAATCTCCATATATACTTTCCTATGTGGGAAACCAATAGTTCGAGGTGTTACATACTTTTTGGCCCAATCAAACTTGTAATACCCCCAACACATAGGGTTGATATTTGGTTTTGGAATGTGTTCTACATATTTTTCAATGACATTTTTCCGCAATTTTGTATTAGAAATTCATTTAAGGTACATAAGGCTCCTGGGGGGAAATGGTCAATATAGGGCTTATATTACTGATCTTTTATATAGATTTCTATACATTTTCCAACAACGTACATACTGGTAGTTTCTGATTGTGGCTTTCAAAAATTGCTGTCCCTGGAATATGTACCGATATTTGCGGGTCAACATGGACATTTTTTGTCTTTTCGCTCCTCATATTTTCAGAATTGTGGAACTAAACGGATTTTGTGACTTGTTATGGTTTTAAAATTTTTATTTAATTTTTCGTTTCCAATTGAATTCGATACATTTTTAAATAAAAGTGGCAAGAATGCCACCATAAAAAGCGTATACGCAATTTTGGGTACATTCATGCGGACTTCTGATTTGTTAAAGAAAACATGAGCACACATTATGTATTCAATTCGATGAAAATCGGTTAAGATATAGCTGCGGGTCGCATATACATTATTCATCTGATTTGGTTAGAAGTTCCATGCTCTACACAACCACTTAGTTGCTAGCTTTCAGATACAACATGGACATACCTTCATAAAATTTTATAGAGATCGGTTCAGATTTGGATATAGCTCCCATATAAATCGTCTACCGATATCATGTTAATTGGGCCTAATAGGATGCATTTTGATGAATATCAATTCCTACTCCTTTAAATTTAGTAGAAATCGATTCAGATTATAACTGCTTTAAAGCCATAATCCACATTCAAAAACGATCATACTTTAAAAAAGTAATCAGTTGCTCATTTCGCGTTTTATGTGCTTAATTGTTATCGAAAATGTTGACCCTTTGTGGGGGAGGTACTAGAAGGAGTGGTCCGTTCAATCCGTTCTTCATACCAAGCCTTGTGTTAGTGGAAATATTGAAAAAAGCGAAATTTGAAGATCGTCGGACTCTTAGTTAAAACTTTATAAACGTTATAATTATTCAAAATGTTGACCTTTTGTGGGGGAAGTACCAGAAGAAGTGGTCCGATATTTACCATCTTCACACCAGCTCTTGCTTAAGTAAAAATATTGGGAAGTATGAAATTTAATAAGAATCATGAGCATCTGATCACGTTTTAGAGCTTTATGGTTATTCAAAATTTTGACCCTTTGTGAGGGAGGTACCAAAAGGAGTGGCTCGATATATTCCATCTTCACACCAGACCGTGGGTTAATAAAATTATTGGGATATGTGAAATTTGAAGATAATCGGACTCTTACATCACATTTTATAAGAGTTGTAATTATTCAAAATTTTTACCCTTTGTGGGGGATGTACTTGAAGGAGTGGACCGATATTGTCCATTTTTGATCCTGACTTAGCACTGACGCAAATATTTGGATCCTTTCTCTTTCGGTGCTATAAAATATTTTCTTTGAAAATTTCGACATTTTGTGGGCGACCGATATCGCCCATCTTTGAAGTAGATCTAAGTTTGACAATAATATTACAATGTACCTCGTTTGGGTAAAATCGGGTACTCTCTTCGAGAGTTATCGAGCGCACCAGCCAGACAGACAGTTGGACGGAAGGGCGGAAATCGCTAGATCGACTCCAAATGTCCTGAAACGAGACCTAGGCTCTAAAACCGTTATATCTACTAGGCACGTTTTGGACGTATCAAATGATATATATCCTCTGTAGCCATATGGCTAAGGGTATAAAAAATAGTTGGATGGAACGTGGTAGAAGAAAATTTGTTGATAAATGAGGAGAAAATTTCCAAGGGCTGTGGACCTTTTTGTAAAAGAATTCTTAGAGGAAATCTGGACCTTTAAATTAAAAATGGTGGACCTTTACACACAACTACTCTAAAATGTGGAATTTTTATTGTTTATTAATTAATTTATTTATTATTATTATTTATTATTATTTTTTTTTGTTTGTGGAATTGTGCACCTTTTCATTAAAAAATGGTTGCAGGGTACGTGGACCTTTTGTAAAAGAATTCTTAGAGGAAATCTGGACCTTTAAATTAAAAATGGTGGACCTTTACACACAACTACTCTAAAATGTGGAATTTTTATTGTTTATTAATTAATTTATTTATTATTATTATTTATTATTATTTTTTTTGTTTGTGGAATTGTGCACCTTTTCATTAAAAAATGGTTGCAGGGTACGTGGACCTTTTCATAAAGAAATTATTGGAGAATATGTGAAGTTTTTCATATGAAATATCTGCATGAAATGTCGGAAAGATTATTGAATGGAAAATGGAGTTTTTTTTGTAGGAAATCTGGAGCTTTCATGCAAAATTTTCTGGAGGGAATATGGACCTGATCATAAAAAAATTTAGAAGAAACGTAGACCTTTTTATAAGCTTTTCCTCTTCTATAACGGGGATTTTTCCAAAGATATAGTCTCAAGATATTAGGAACTTTCCCTTGATCCCCACCAATAGAAAGTGGATCTTTTGATAAATCGAAAATAGGGACAAACCTAGGCTATATTCAAAACAAATTTCCAAACTTTGCAAAAAATAATTTGTCTTCTCGAATATCTAATACACCGAATGCATATATAACAAAACCTGGACCATATTTTAAAAAAGTTTTGAATTACTGTAATAAAATAGGAAACCAGCCGCCGATTCTTCGTATTTTTATATAAATGTTAGATTTTCTTGTAATTTTGTCCATACCAGTATTTTTATATGCATTAGATGAAGTAATTTTCTAAAAACTATCACATATCTCATATAAAGCGAAGGAAGCAGTCAATATAGTTCAAACCTGACGCGTCGCATTATTTATATCATATTTATTTAGGTCCAATACGAAATGGACAATTTTGGTCCATTCCGTCGGAACCTACTCCATAAAGGGTCAAAAATTTGGATAATCATAAAAAAGTCAAAATATATTAAAATAATCGAACATCTGTCGCAAAACCCTCTGATAGTTTTTAACTTATTTTAATAAAAACGCTGCAGGATACAGAAATCGCTAAGTTTTCCTCCAAAATGTAAAACAAAAGTAATAAAGCAATTTCTTTATAATCGAAGCTCGTGAAATTTATGTTTTCCCTGAGTCAATTTCTTTTCCA